TTGTTTCTTCCTAAGTGGAATACTTTATATTTGATTATTGAATAAATGTCCTTACACAACCATATTTTTGAAAATTAAAAATAGACAAACACACTAAAGCTCCCTGAGATACGCTATGAGGAAAAAGAAAACAAAATATTTTTTAGCTGAAATTCTATTCTATATAGAGGCATAAGTGAAATCAAACTAGAAGACTTATCCTTTCTGTGCCACAATATGTGTATGTGTAACTAGCTATTCACTTGTTGGAACACTGCTTGAACGGTCATTTTCACAGCAACTAAAACTATTTCCAAAATCCAATAAAATTGGCCCACTAGGTCATTTTGAATCCCTGAGCAAAATTTCAAAAGAATGAATTACATAATGTTCAGTATAATTTCTCATTGCATACTAAAAAGAGAACTTATATGTTCAAGTACGTACTTATTCTATAATTTCTGCCACTTAAAATTATGCTCATGATTCTGAAATTATTCTAAAAATACAGCTCACCAAATTCCATCAAACACAAGATTTTAAATGCTTCATCCTGTGTTGTTTTTGAGTGCCTCATTTCCCATTGTCTTCACAATTAGGAAAGTTGTAGGTGTTCAACAAATAGCCATATAAATGGAATGCAAAATCTGAAAAGACCCTTCAGTGTTCTACTCCAGCATCATCTCTCAAGATTTATGTAGTGCCAATTCTTATTTATGCACCCAGGCTATGTCTAGAGTGTTGCTTTTTATTGGAAAAAGATACGCAAATTGCACTCCACAATTTGCGTTCCTTTTTCTGATAGTTTTGTCTAAAGCACATAGCAATAACCCTAAACCTGGGTTGGTCACCCTAAACTTTGAATGCCAAGCTGATCATCTTTAATGCATTGGCATTCAAATTCTATGGCCCTGGGTATCCTAGAAATAACTATATCAGTAAAACAGCACTATCTATGACATAGTGATGAATACAATATTAAATCTTTATCACTGAGACCTATGTGTAGGTCTTGTGATTGCATACTTCTTTTTGGCTATCCATGTAGTGTAGTATAGCACAAATCCTAGGCACATGGAAAATTGAGTATTGGGATGGTTAGTGTCTGATCTCAGATGTAGAAAATGTCTAATTCCAGAGATTAAATTCTTTGAGTGCATCCACTTAGTATAAAACTAAAATGGAAACATGTCTTACATCAGCCTGATGCAAAGCAGTCACTGTACTAGTCACCAAAATTCTCTCTGGTGGAGAATGTAGATATGGTCTTCAGGGTACACATGTAGATGAGAACTTTAGCTTTTTGCCTGAGATATTTGGCCTTTATGTCAACAATCAGATTTATTCCAAGTGAGTTTTGGCTCTAGACATGCAAGTGAGTGCCCTGTGTATCCTGTATATGGCCTGAAGTGTAGAGATAGATGTTTGGAGTATAGTGAACACACTTCTATTATGGGTCTTACTAATCTTTCAATGGGGAAGGCATGCAGAAATGATCTTCTATCTGAGTATGTTGCTACATATATTGAGGTATAACACTAGCCTGATGGGACATTCCAACCAGTGTTTAATTTGTGCCAGGGCTTGCTATGATTGAGTCCCAGCACCTCTAGGCTTGGCAGTTCATAGCCCCAGCGACTCTTGGCTTGCTGTGTCAGTTATGAAAGTAAAAACGTTGTTTGAGCCCTAGCATCTAATTGCTTGAGTCCTGACACATCTTTCATCACAAATAAGCACTGAATAGACCACTATGTTGTCTGTGAACATCAGTGTTCAGTTTTAACTTCTTGAATAGATCTCTATCTTCCATGTTGTCTTTTCAGGTCACCAGTATTTAACAATGTTCTTCCAAAAATTGAGTCAGAGGACATGAAAACAGAGTGCCATTTACTGACGGCTAAATTCTGAAGCTTATTGACTAGCTATGTCTTTAGTAGTTTTTGTGAAATTACCCTATGGCTTTGGTGGGGGCTCAGAATCAAATTCAGATTTGGTATAAGCAGGTTCAGCTTTGCAAAGGTTAAAGAATTATGCCTATATATACCAGAAATGCATTTGTCCCCTAAAAAAATTCTTCTCCAACATAGCATCTGTGACTTTCTTGTCAATTAAACTGTTCTGGGTGATGGACAATCTAGTTACATTGGAATGCCTTTTGCTTTATTTTTTAATTAGTAGGCCCATAATGTATCTAATCCTGGTTGTAGGACTAGCACATTCTGCCTATAGTCAGAGTGACTGCCTTTGAAGTCTCAAATGGCAAAATAGCTCCTAGCATTTTAAATTCCTTTGGAGTGCTCTGAAATGATTATTTTGTACATTCCCAGAATGAAGTCTCAGAGAGGTAGCCATGTTAGTCTGCAACTTTAAAAACACAATTAATGTAGCTCAGTTTGCATATCTTAATTTGACATTATCCCGTAGCGTAGAAAAACCGCAAGACGCCACAGGACTATTCCTGGAATGAGCCTTTAGAATTACTTAACCAGTACAAAATTCATGGTTAGAACATTAAACAGCTGCTGATATTGTACACATCTGTAATATGATAACTGAATTCATTCTGCCTTAATTTCCATGTGATTTGAACTGTTCTTTTAAATATATGTATAATTTATCAATGGCATAACAAATATAAATTTTCTAGGTTTTTTGTTGTTAAATAACATCATTATTTATGAACACAGTACAACATACTAAAATTCCAGTTGGAACCACTAGTGTTATATTTATAGTGAAGAATTCCTACTTATGCTTCCAGACAAACTCACTTCCCTACCTACCCTCATCCAATGTTGCGAGGCATCAACAGTTGGGAGGAGTAGTGTACAGGAAGAATGGAATTACCTTGAACACTAGAAATAGAAATAAGATGGAATTTACTATAGAAATCCAAAATAGTCCCCAGGTACATGACTCTGCATTTCATATTATAAAATTGGTATCTTACCAGCAGGAAATGATGAGAGGAGAAGAAAGACTTGTGTATATTAACCAGCCCTGGAATGACTATGACCCATCAGTGGGATGCAGCTGTAAAAGAGGCAAATGTGAGCCTAGGACATGTAAACTTTGGTATTTCCATTAGAAAGAGGGAAGTATTAATGCCGTCGTTCAAAGCACTGCTACCACTTCATGTGGATTATTGTAAGCAAGACAAATTCAGACTGGAACAGAGAAGAGCTACTAGGATGATCAGGGAAATGGAGAGCCTATTTTATAAGAGAAGATAAAAACAACTTGACTTTGTTAGCCTGACAAGACAAATGCTGAGAGGGGATATGAATGCTGTCTATAAATACATCAAGGTGGTAGATATCAGAGGAGAAGAAAAGCTATTTTAAGCTAAAGAACAATGTTGGCTCAAAAACAAGTGGTTATAAACTGGCCCAGAAAAAGTTTAGGCTAGAACTCAGAACATATCTAACCCTTAGAGGAGTATGGTTCTGGAACAGTTTTCCATTAGGAGTGGTGGGAGGAAAAAACCAAACTAATTTTAAGATGGAGTTTGGCAAATTTATGAAGGGGATTATATCATGGGGTCCCTTGCAATAGCTGATTGGATTAATTGATCCAGGAGGTTCCTTTCAATCTTGTATCATTTGTTCCTATTAAATCAGAGGTGTTGTGCACATGATAAATGAAGCCTCTCAGGAAGAGGGTACGATACTAAAATGAGAAGACAGTGATGAAGTTAGAACGAGAAGGAGGAGGAGAACTGAATGGAATGAGAAAAATGGTGTAAAGTAGAGATGACAAAGAAGGACTGGCTACTCAGACACTGCCAACATAACTATTGAGATGAGGCAGCAAGAAGAGAGGCTAGCAAAATGAAACATGTATTTTGAAGAAATATATTTTGTGTTAAAATCCATTTAAGAAAAAAGTTCCTTACTGAAACAGGAGTGTACTGTTTAATATTGTAGTGATGTATATTATTCAATATTTTTTATTGTTTTTCCTTTGTGTTCTCACCATCACATACAAGGCGTATTTGATTTTTGATTTATCTAAAAATCCTTCATTTCCTGTAAGCTTAGAAGGCAACTTGAATCCTGCTGCCTGAAACTATATTTGCCTTAAAAAAAAATCACCTCACGCTGACTGAGATCCTTCACAGCTAGTACAGCAAAGAATTGCCAAGTAGACATAGAATGTGACAAATTTACAGAAATCTGTTTTCATTTTTCTCTTCGTAGCATCTTAGATTTTAAACAAAAATGTCTTTCCTCTACCTCTCTATCCATTTATTTTGGACTTAGCTCTGAGCCGCTAACCATGGAATGTAATACCACTGGTGCTGACACGGAGCATGCTCCAGGACCAATGGAAAAAATTAGCAAATGCTTAGCACCCACTGGCAGCCAGCCTCTTTTTCCTCTTCCCCATTCCCATCTGCCTTCAGTCACTGCTGATCAACTTCTTTCTTCTCTTCCTCCCAGCAGCTCCTACACCCTGGAGAAGAGCTATTCTATGGCACACAGGAGGTGTGGGAGGGAGAGGGAGGAGGGAGAATGGGGTGTGCTCGGGGATGGGGTAGAATGAGGTGAGACTAGGCAGGGAAGAGGTAGAGTGGAGGCAGGAATAAGGCAGGGCATGGGAAGGGCCTTGAGGGCAGAGGTGGGAAGAAGCAGTGTGTAGAGCTTGGGAGAAGGGGTAGAGTTGGGGCAGAATCGTAGAGTGGAATAAGGCAGGAATAAGGCAGGGCATGGGGAAGGCCTTGAGGGCAGAGGTGGGAAGAAGCAGTGTGTAGAGCTTGGGAGAAGGGGTAGAGTTGGGGCAGAATGTGGGGCCGAGCAGGGATGGAATCCCATTGCGGAAATTAGGGGCCAGTGTGTAAACCACTTAAATCTCCATATTCCAGGTGTCCCTAACCCAGAAACACTGGTAGTATGGAGGAGGAAGTAGCTCTGTGCGCCGCCACTCCCCCTTCCTCCAACTGGGGGAATGGCAGAGCAGCATGTCGACTCTGCTTCCCCTGTGTTTTTCTTCTTGCCACTCCTATAGCAGCAGGGGGGACAATGCCTGGTAGTGACAGTGGAGCCATATTTGCCTCTGGGAGCAGTGTGCCAGGTAAGTGCCCCAACCTCACCCTAGTCATGCCCAGACCTAGTGCCCCAACCTCACCCTAGTCATGCCCTCCCTTACCCAGTAAAATCTTCAATCTGTCATTCCCTGTTTCCTGGGGTAGCTGGATTAAAAAGGTTCAAGTGCAGCTAGCCTGACTGAAATCAATAGGGTATAAGTTGATCGGTGAGAATTTCAAAGCAGCCTAGAGGAGCTGGATTGCCAGGTCCCAATTACAATTATTGTGAACGTAAATGCCAAGGTGGCTTTGCAAGTATCATTCAATGTAATAAGAGGACCAAAACTCTTTCTAAAGGAAGTTAACCTTTCTTCTGACAGTCAGCAGTCAGTGATGTGTCACTGGAGGACAAGCTGATGCTTTAGCTGCAGTACATGGCTTCATATAACCCACCAGGGAAAATCTTTCTCTTGTCACCGGAGAAATACAACTCATTGACAGCTTTTTATATTTCATTGCTGCATCAGCTGGTGACACCAAAGAGCGAAGTATTTGGTTATACTGATCTAATAGAATTCAGATGGATTTGCTTGATAAGCTTCATGCCACATCCATTAGCTACCCAGGAGTGAGAAGGTCATGGAATACTGCTGCTACATCTGACCATTTCATGTGGAGACAAAACATGACAATAAAATAAGTTATAAAAGGCCACATGTTTATCTCTTTCATCTAGCAGATTTTTATGACTCTTCCTCAGCATTTATTTTGGCTCCATTAAAAGAGGTCTCATAGCATGTTTCTACCTTGCAACTCAATTTGCTCCAGTGGATACTTGGCCCTGTAACAGTATCGTATTATTATTTCTTGCTGCCTCAGCTGAGCTGCCCAGCAGCTTGGGGATCAGAATCTAATCTCTGTCCACTCTGGGGCCCATCCCACTTGCTCAAAAAAAGGAGCTCCGAACCTGCTTACCTCATTGTGGTTTAAAGTAAAAGGTTTGGAAATGTGGCTAGTCCCAGGGAGGCACAGAAACAGGCAAACTATTACTAAATATCTTTTAAACTTTTATTAAAGGGCTTCTACGTATAAATTATTATTTTATCAATTTCTTACATATGCAGGCATCAAATAATTATTAAAATGTCCAATAAGCAAAATGCAATACAGTAAAGAAAATTCCTTGAGGTTTCTCTAAATCCAATAGTTGTTAACAAGGGACTAGGGTTTATTAACAGTTACATTTACATCAGTCTTATAAGTCTAATCATTTATCTAAAACTTTTAACACTACTACTTAACAATACCTCTAAACAATTTCAGATAACAATACTTACATTAACAGACACACAAACTACAACAACAACATATTTGGTATTCGTTATGTTTGGTATACGTTACGCTCTACAGGAGCGGTGAGCGGAAGGTGGCCCTCGGGTGATCAGTCCTCAGACCTGGCTCATATTCTGCCATCCAATGTTTATTCGGGATTCCTCAATTTGATACAGGAGGGGAAGCTGTTTTAGAGAGAGAGTTTTTGCACGCTTTTTGTGATAGGCTAGCAGACCCTGTCTGTTAAGTGACAGGAGTAAGGGGGTGAGATGGTTTCCTGTTTTTCCTTTTCTGCCTTATTGGGCATGGCACAGTCAGCACAACCAGCACGAACTTTACATGAACTTTTTGGGTCTGGTTTTGGTTCCTGTTCATCGCTGATCTTTAAGTTACATAGTGTAAGGGTTTTCATCAAGGGGAAGTTGACCTTTTGCTTGGATGGCAATATGCACGAGAGGCCTGGCCAGCAAAGAGCCTGCTTTCACACTCATGTTCCCAAATTCAAAACCCAGGGATGTTGTGTGGAAGTAGAGGGAGGGTCTAATGCCCTCTTACACAGAGGTAGCGCCATGCAGTTTGGGCCATCATTCAGAGCTAAATATTCTTCAGAAATACAGGCAGTCCCTGGGTTACATACAAGATAGGGACTGTAGGTTTGTTCTTAAGTTGAATTTGTATGTAAGTCTGAACTGGCTCCAGATTCAGCCGCTGCTGCTGAAACTGACCAGGGGCTGACTACAGGAAGCTGGAGGCAGAATTGCTCTGCCCCCAGCTTCCTGGTCGAGCCTGGGACAGAACAGCTGGGCTGCCAGGTAGGTCCCTGCAGGACCAACCCGGCAGCACCCCAGCTGCTGTACCCCAGGGTCCACAACAAAAGCCTGGTCTGCTGGGGGGAAGTGCACTAGCTGAGCCCCCCCCCCCTCTCTGGCAAAGCCTCAGAGGTGCGGGACCCCGCCGCCGCTGCGGCTTTGCTCCCGGTGTCCCTGGTCTGCTGGAGATGGTCCCCAGCAGACCAGGGGCACCCGGAGCAGCTTTTCTCGCCCCGTAGGTCGAGGTGGCGGGACCGCTGCGCTCTGGGCGGTCCCGCTGCCTGCGAGCTCTGGGGCGAGAGAGCCCTGTTCGTAAGTGTGGATCCGACATAAGTCGGATCCGCGTAACTCGGGGACTGCCTGTATTGTGGGTGATTTGCCTCTCAGACTACTGTTATGTTGGCTAAATGCTATTGACTTTAGTTTAAATGACTCCTCACTCATCCCGATGTAAATTAGAAGGGAATCAGACTATTGGCTACATCTTTTACTGTTTAAGAAATGGAATTTGCCAAACTTCTAATTCAGTGGTTATATTTTTTTGCTTGCTTTATACCTGCAGAGGTTCACAGGCAGCATAATTCAGTCTCTTTATTGCTTTAAGCAATTACTTACTACATGTGCCCAAATTACAATAAATTTTCATCATGCGTCCAGCTAGTAGGAAAATACTTGTCCTTAAATTACTGTATTTAAATCCCTTGCTACTGTGCAGACCTTAATTTGTTCTTACACTTTAGATGATATTTATTTGCATTACTGTAATTGGGAGTATGTGCCTGTAATTAGATGATGAATTGAAGCTAAATCTCATTTCTCCAAAACAACTCCATTTCTTGTAGTGTAAGATTACATCTCTTAAAGAGAGTATGTTTCCACCTATTACACTTGGCTGGCTTTCTGTTTCGCGGGTGTAACTAGTTCATTTTATTACAAAATGGTCAGTCAATCTTTTGACTAAAATGAGCACTTGAAACTTGTGTTTTTGGGGCCAAATCCTCCAATGGACTGGAATGGGTTTTCCTGTTTATAAAATGAATGCATCAATACCTTAGAGCTGAGAAAGAAAGACAGTCATTTACATGGTTCTCATTAGTTTCGGTATAGTCTATTATAATTAGAAAAACTTGGAATGAGCTGGCAATTCCATTTCAACCTACATCCCAATAGCAGACAGCGAAAAACAATACTGTATCACATATTATAATGTATGCCTTTTGATACATATATAGATCTTATTTCATTGATCAGATTCATTGATTAGCAATTAGTAAAATCAAATTTGTATCAAGTTATCTCTTTTAAAGGAGAGATTACTAATTATAATCCATTTAAACTAATGTTAACAGTGGCTTTGTGCACACAAGACTAAAGGCTAGATGGGCCTAGCCTTAATTCAACTGCACAGGTCATGCATTAGGACTACCTAAACTGCAGCTCTAATATTTAAGGGAGCATAATGGCTGCATGCCCCATTATCTCCTCTCCCTCAGTGTGTGTACATGTAGGTAATGGTAGGCAAAATCATAATTCTGCCTCCTTATGCACTAGCTTGAAGAGCCAGGGTAGGAGTATGTTTCCTCCTGAATAGGAGGTTTGTAAAATATTTTCTTACTCCACCACAGCAGGTTTACAGGAGCAGTTGACAAAGGCTTCCCTTGTCAATCGATCCACGTCTTGACTCGTGCACTGTGCCAACAATCAGCTGAGCCGGCACAGCGCAGCAGCCATTTTTATTTTAATGAAGCCCGGGATATTTAAATCCCCACTTCATTGACTATGTCGGGTAGCCTATTTTAGATACCTCTGTCAGCAGAGGCATGTAGTCTAGATGTACCCTTAGTTACCACATGCCAGTTGATATCCCAGAATCTGTGGTCATGGAAAAAATTTGCATAGGTAATTTTTCTACAAAAATTATATTTGCTGTATTAAAATTGTTTTTGTAAACTAAAAGAGAATATCAAAAAGTAGTGTCCAAAATATCATTTTCCTTGTTCATATATACAAGTGTCTTTTAGATTTATTTTCTATTTACTTAAGAACCTGTCCACCATCTCTTTTGTCTTATCCTATCCAGAGGGAATAGGCTAAATCAATACCTAAACATTAAGAAGTGAAGCAACCTGAGGGCACAATTTTCAGGTCACTTTGTTCTAGTATTTAAAACAGATCTTTGGTTCTATTAATAGAATGTTCATTTAAAATGGTTAAATATATTGAATATTTGCCTAAAATAGATCTACCACTTCAGTTTGGTTATTCAACTTTTGTTCAAACAAAGCTTTTTTAGATATGTCAACATTTCTTTATATATAATTTTTTTTTCTTTGAGCAAATGAATTTTGAATGCATGCCAGCTATTAGTCTCACTTCAAATGAGAGGAGCTTGGCAGGTATGTAAATACTATGTGTAATTTATTGCATGAGCAAACAAGTACCTGGAAGAAGATTTTGTACTGTCTTCTAACTCACAGCTCAGAATTGTTTAGGATTTTTTAAATATATTACAAATGTAAATTAAAACTTTACAAAGTAGCAGGAATCTTCTTCTGGGGGAAATTATTCATTGAATTAATACAATCTTTGAATTAACTAAATGTATTCCTAATAGTGGCTATGGTTGGCTCTATGAAGAACTCTTAAAGTAAGAGTAAATCTAAAAATCAGTTGGCAAAATTTTGCTGTCAGATTTACCATTTTCTATCTCCAAAAAAATGTCTTTTGGAGCATTTTCACTCACTATAAGCCTTACTTAACTGAAGATCTTTGGGATTCTTCGAATTCATTCTGGAGACATGTCTCCTGCATTGCAGACTAGACATGGGCCTGAGCCAGACCCCAAAACTAAACATCACCAGACTTGTGGTTGGCAATTAGAAATCCAGGTCCAAATTTTTTTGGCG